GAGAGAGAAAGAGAGAAAGAGGGAGAAAGAGCGAGAGAGAAAGAGAGAAAGAGGGAGAGAGAGCGAGAGAGAAACGCGCATGTGGAAGAAGAGAGATAGAGAGAGAGAGAGAGAAAGAGGGAGAGAGAGCGAGAGAGAAAGAGAGAAAGAGGGAGAAAGAGCGAGAGAGAAAGAGAGGAAGAGGGAGAGAGAGCGAGAGAGAAACGCGCATGTGGAAGAAGAGAGATAGATAGAGAGAGAGAGAGAGGCGGAGAGAGAGAGAGAGAGGAAGGGAACCAGCGTTCGCGCAACGCAAACATTGTTTCGTTTCATTTCGCGATACCGCGTGGAATCATATTGCGCAGATTCCAATATTTCCATCGTTTTATTGCCCCTGATCAGCCCCCACCCTCTTCTGTCTTCGATTCTCATCCATTGTACTCGTCGACGTTTCTGGATTGCCCGATCATTGATCTTAATCTTCCGATGCTCTCTATTTCTGCTTCGTTCCCCGAAAAATTCAACCACGATACCGGAGTGCTTCTTTTGGAGCTCGAGATAGAAAATTATAATGTTCTGCTTGTAAATTGTACCGAATTTTTTTTTCTTATCAGCGACAGATACTTGTTAGGAAGCAGATAGAGTAGTTGGTGTAATAAATCATATTAAATTTTTCTATTAAAATATAAACGAAATAAAAGAATACACGCTACATTTTGTTAGTGTTAGTGCAATAGAATCGAAGAAACAATTAATTTGATCGATTTCGAATTTTCAGTTTTAGTTTCCGTAACTCAACTATGTATTTTGAAGTTTCGGATTTTTGATGGATTGTGATTCGCCAGTCAACGTGTTAATTTTTACTGCAGAAGCCCGGGAAGCCGATATCTATTAGATCATGGAAATGCACACTTTACTCTATAATCTTGCTATAAAATCTATGCATTTTATACTTAATGACTTACCTAATATATTGACTCGTGTCGCGAGAGTATATTTGAGAAAGAAAAAACACGTCGCATATACGTATCGTAATGCTTAGAATAAAACTCTACTGGCTTATATGGGGAAATTTGCGTCTCTGTTCTTCGACCGTTGCTCAAGCGTTCGCGGATAATGAAAACGTTTTTACCTAAGCGAAAAGCTCGCGCGACGTGCAAAAACGATATACACACACGGCAAATTTCAGTTAAACAATTCGCCGACGGGTGCATTTTGTTAGATATGCGCGTATCAAATAATTCTCCCCTGGACTCCCTCCCTGAATAAATAAACTGCAACGAAGCCGCGGCCGCGTGCATACATAAATGAAACATGCCCAGGCTGTTTTCGTTAACCGCGAAACCGCGTATCCGTGCTGTTTTTTACAATATGCATTTCGGTTTTATCAATATTGTCTGCCGGCGAGCCAAATCGTAACGCGTTTGTTTTCATCCGGCAATCTGTTCGGCGCATCGACTCGATAAGATTCCGACTGTTAAGTCATTTAATTCCAATTTGTTTAACGCTGACCCTATCGATCACTCAAAGCGGCTAACGCGTGTAGCTCTATAAGGAAGACTAAATTAGCTTAGATCTTTCGCTAGTTTTACTGTAATGTACGCTTGAACTAAGAAATCAAAAGACGGTTAAGTGTTATTTATATATATATAATATATAATAATATAATAATATTATTATATAATATACAATAATATATAATAATATGTAATATATAATAAACAACAACAAAAAAATATATATATTTTTTTTCTTTTAAAAAAATTATTACAATCGAAGAAGTTCTGATCATAGTAACTGTGAAGAAAATGATTTGCACTCGAAGAGCCATTCCAACTTGAAATCCAAAATATTTATGATATTTATGATATATATGATATATATGAAATATATATGAAATCCAATATATACGGTATTTCCATTTTACACGATTTATCGCATTTTGTACATATGTAATTGAGTCTCGTGACTCATAGAATATAATAAATATAGTATAATAAAATATAAATAAATTTGATAATATAAAAATGATTTTGATATAACAATTTTTAACGGGGCGACTCCGTGTTACCACTCGAGTGCAAAGGGTTAAAATAACAATAACAGGAGCATGTCGCACATCTGCCAACGATCCGGCCCTAGGAAAATTTAAAAAAACAATGGCGAAACGATCGCAGAGACTTTCTGTTGCCCGGCGAGAGTGTAAAAACCGCGCCGGTATGCGTAAAAGCGTTGACTCGATGCGGATCGGATCGGAGCGGAGCGGAGCCGAGCCGAGTGAAGCAGAGCGGCGTAATCCTTCCAGTTGCGAGCTTCTTCGTCGCGCCACGGTTTCGTTGTGTAACGAGTAGCCGTCGTTCCATGTACAAGGCACACACGGTCGTATCTTCCCTCGCAAAACCGCTCGCGATGGTGTCGTATTGTCGTGAGTAACATTCGCCTCCGGTTACCAGTCACTGTCCCACAACCAGGACGCGAGCCCAAACAACGCGATCTTCCGCGGACCGATCAAATCTCGCCGGGTTTCCCTCGGGAAATCGCTGGTTCGCGGCCGTTTCGCCTAAACGTGGCCGGTTACCACCGAGCAGGTTCTTTTTCGCGGCAGGTTGCGTAACGCGTGTGCCTGCAGAACGAAAGCCACGAGCAGAAATCGATGGCGGGTCTCGTCAAGATTCGTCGGGAAGCAGTGCAATCAAACGGGAAACGGTTGGATTCGTTTGTTCGGCGCCGATCGCGCGTGGCATGATCCAGGTGATTAGAACCGTTTGAGGATCGGCTGTTTTCGTGGATCCTCGGATGCTCGGGTGCCGGTCGGCTTGGTTCTCGAATCTCATCCTCGGGATGGTCCTTTTCCACACCGTTAGCGTAAGTGATGGATGGCGAATCGTACATTTCATTTGAAACGTAATAGCGTGTGCAGTCATCGATCGCGGCGCTTTGCCTGGCGCAAGGTTGCGGTTTGAGGTGACAGAACTTTGCGTGACCCGTTCCGATTTTTCGTCGGATCCGTCGACACGAGCCCCGGCGTGAAACGGAGAATCGACCGATTTGTATCGAAAAACGAGCCTCAAGGACGGAGAAAAATCGTGGCAGACACCGATCGATCGATCGGTCGTATTACATAAACAACAAAACAACCATTGCGCTAGCCGGACCAACATGGCGGCCAGCGAGTTGAATCTGCACTTTATGCAACCATGGCTGACCTACAGTCGCGACAACGCGGTGGAAGGGCTCCAATGATCACGGCCGGCTAGAATTCCTCTGCAATTACCAGGCTGCTTGCGCGACAGACGTCAGACAAACGCGTCTTTCGTTCGCGCTTTTCCCACTTTTCCCGGCTAGATTCGTCGTCGCGATCCGGTCGGCGAAACGGGGGTGATTCATGCCCAGTGCAACACCATGATCGCCAGAAACCGTTCGATTAACGCCGCGATAAACAATTTTCCGCAATCGTTCGCGCGTCGTCGAGGTGGTCGCAACTTTCTCGCGAACCGTTCCGTCCTCGCGAATTTCTTACAGCGAACCGGGCGACGGTGTAAAACAAGAATAACCGCGAATCTTCTTCCCGGCGCGAATTAGCTGTGCGCGTTGTTCCAGATGAACCCGAGGGTGGAGTACATCCCGTTGCCGCGAACATTGCCGAACGAGCTGTGCCTGACTTGGAAGAACATCTCGTACACGACCCAGAAAAAGTGCAACGGCGATCTAAGGGCGATGTTCGGCCTGCAGCGCACCGAATACGTCACACTCTTGGAAGAAGGTACTAGAGAATCGATCCGATCCCAGCGATCGAGCCCGAGAGAGATCCCCTTGATCACCCGTGTTTCGCGTTTCAGTCAGCGGCGTAGTTAATTCGGGGATGCTGATGGCCATCATGGGACCAAGGTAATTTCCACCGGGGCTTTCCGAAACGCCTTCGACCTCGATCGGGAAAGGCGTTCTCTCGGGAAACGATTTTTCGAGTAATTCCAACGTGTGGAGCCAAATGGACCGAACCGGTTCGCAAGTTTTCTATTGTCGCGGCCAATCGGCTCTGCTCTTTCAGTTCCGCCGCTTTTTCGTGTCGAAGGTCTGTCAAGGCAGAGATTATATCGAGGACTCGGAAAATATTGCGGGCGCTTAGTATGCCACAGGGTTGTTAATTGTTTCCAGCAGGACGGAATGTTTCCTCGACTGAACGAACTTCTCGGTTTGCAGCGGCGCTGGGAAAACTACGTTGCTCGCGACGATCAGCCGGCGAGTCAAAGGTTCATACGTCGTTTAGACACCACGATATCGAACATTGTCACACGAACATCCTCTAACATGTTTCCACAGAATTGGCTGAAATGTCTCTCTCGCCCTCCGAACTTAAACAAACTTCTTTTCTCAGTCGCTCTTTCAAGTCTCTACACTTTCTCGTCTCTGTGTACGCTCTATCTAAATCGTTATACCCTTTCGAATCTCTGTATTTTTTAAACTCTTCACATTCTGTCAAATACTCTACACTTTTTCGAATCTCAACATTCTTTAAAATCTCTACACCTTCTTCAAATGTACAACACATTTAAAAATATTTACGCTCTTTCCAATCCTTTTTGCATTCTTTCAGTCGTTTCTTTAAATCTCTACATGTTCTTTCAAGAGCCTACGCTGTTTAAACTGTCTACACTCTTTCAAATTTGTATACTCGTTTGAATCAACACGCTCTCTCCCCATATCTTTATACCCCCACCAAATCAAATACACTCTTTCAAATCTTCACGCTCTTCGACACTATTTGAGCTCTCCGACTAAAACGTTCATCCATTCCGGGACACATTAAACCGACTTCTAACGCTGACAAATGACAAGTCCTTCCCGCGGAAAATGCCGATCACGGAAAATCGAAATTTCTCGTTGACAGGCAGTGCGACGGGCGAGGTACTGCTGAACGGAAAGCCGATAGACACGGAGCAGATGATAAGGATATCGGGATTCGTTCCGCAAATGGACCTGGCGGTCGAGTCGCTGACTGTTCAAGAGCACATGGAGTTCATGGTTGGTTCCCTCGATTAACCCTCGCGTTAGCAAATCGAATACGTAAATCATTGTAGATTACATGTACGAATCTTTATCTTGAAGCGACAAGATAACGTAATATCGTCCAAACAATGGACACTCAGAATTGTTCCGTGATTATAAATAGACTGCGGATTTTTATGATGGATAAAAATTATCGGTAATAACAGCGCAAACGGGAGTTAAATATAAATATCTTAATGAATTTAGTATATTGAAAATAATATAGTGTGAAAGTCTTCAAATGTTTTCCTATCTAATCTGATGATTTATAAATAAATATGCATTTAAATGCAAATTTTTAAATATACAGGGTTCCCCGGAAAGAATCATCCGATTTCAAAAATTTATATTTTTAAAAATTACACACAGAAAATTATAATTCAAACACGAATATAACGGGAAAATGTGCGAGTTTTACTTTTTACCCCATTGGCACTTGGAGGTTCGGAATTTTCTTAACACGGAACTACCAAACCGTTAGATTGGTCGCAGTTCATCCGATAATATGGTTCTACACAGTTGGCCTCCGAGATCACCCGACCTGACCCCATGCGACTTCTTCCTTTGGGGATTTGTGAACGATCTTGTCTTTGCACCACCTTTACCTACAAGTGTAAATGAACTGAAAAAACGCATTTGTGATGCTGTACAAACAATTACCAGAGATACATTACACCGTGTTTGGCAAGAACTTCCATATCGCAATGATATCATACGTGTAACGAAAGGAAGTCATATTGAACACTTGTAAACAAAAACTCACACATTTTCCCGTTATATTCGTG